GACCGCGACGAGCTTGCAGAAAGTCAACCACACTAGCGGCTAGCTCATCAGTCAGTCTGGTGTTGGTAAAGAAGAGATGCTGTATGGTATCATGAGAATGGAGACTGGATAGTACACATGACACGTCACTGTTGGAGAGTGAGTTCTCATCCAGCCATAGAGTGTTAAGGCGTGGTAACTTTGTGACCAGTGTTGCCAGGTCAGATCCACATCCACTATCCAGTCTACACCTTGCCAGTGATAGTTTTTCGAGGTTATAACATGGAGCCAAGTTGCTCACAAATGCTGCCAGACCATCATTGCCAAGTGCAGTGTCGTGTGCATCCAGGTACGTTAGACTTGGGTGTTTTACACATCCAGCAAGTGCTACTCCATCTGCAGATCCACTGGTCAACCTTGTGCTGATAATGTCAAGAACCTGGAGGGTACGCCGTGTTGATCTAGACAGTGTGCTTGATATGCTTGCCAATGGTGCTGCAGTGATATTGGCACCAAACAAAGTCACCTTGACGCATTTATCCAGTTGATCAGACAGCAAAATGACACTGTCACTTGACAGATTACAACCGCCGAGATCCAGAGACTTTACATGGTCTACAAGCTCCAAAACAGTATGTAAAGCCATCACATCAACAACTTCAAGGTGGATTCCACTAACATCAATTCCATCACTGGCCAGGAGGTTGGCTGACATAGCATAGCAGCTATGGGTGACTATGTCAGTGTCCTGATTGGGATTTCCCAGAGTGCGGTTATGTTGGAGTGAAATGTGGCTTTCCATCAAACATCTCATCAGGAACAGAAGCATCTTCTTTTTGCTCTTGAAAGAGTTATCACTGATGCTGTTTTCAGACTTCAGAGCCAACAAAGATGAATGTAGAAGGTCTGGCTTGAGTGCTCCAAAGACAAATTGCCAGAAGACAAGTGTGTTCAAGTCTGTGCCGACAGTGTTGATGCAGCTGCGGATGATGTCTACGCACGAGTCAGAAGAAATGATGCATCTCGATGCACACCACTCTTGCAGTGTCAAGTGAGTCAAGGACACAGTCTGAGTGGAACCGACGAACGACGGATGCATACCAGGGTTGAGCAGTAAGCCGAGATCTTGACAAATGGACTGGTGGAGGGTTGACAGCGTGGATGTAAACGTAGCCATGCCCCTTTGATATGTTGCAAGACACATCGTGTAGAGATTGTGCAATGCCTTGACTAGCTCCACAGCATGGTGATCACACTCCTCATCATTGTTGCTTGTCTCCTTCACATAGCGCTCCAAATGATGTTCTATTACCACGGGGATACTGACAAGATCACCACAACTGAAGTGCCGGCCACCACTGCAGTGACTGATGACGTCATGTGCAAGCCGTACTTGACCAAACTTCCTTCCTCGCCGCTTTTCCAGCTTTGCGACTGAGGAGCGTAAGTAGTGGTCGTAGAAAAGTGTCACACTGGAGGGTAGAGAGTTGTTGATGGGATATTGCTGAACGAGCAGAGCACATAGGAGTGGAGATTGTCGAATGGCTTCCTTCAGCAGACAGTTGGTCGGCTGTGAGAGCTCTGTAATACACTTCTTGGCAACCTCCTCTCCGAGCTGTCGTGAGCAGTACGCAAAGAGCTGGTCTGTCGAGAAGCCGAGAAGTCGGAAACGTAAGCGGAAATTCTGGATATGGTGATACGCTTCATCACACGGTCGGCTAGTTGCGACTACAATAGCATCAGGTAGTAGTGAATGGTTACTGCTGCTGCTCCTCAATATTACAGCTTGGGCTGCTGATCCTTTGCCAAACCCACCACTGCCAAGTTCGTCGATGCCATCAATAACGATCAATACCTGGTCAGAATGCTCTGTAAGGTACCTTAGCAAGGTAGATTGCTCCGGTTTACTGATGCCCAACTTGTCCAAACCAAGAAATACAAACCAATCAGTCGACTGTGTACGTGTCAAATCACGGCATGGCACGTAGAAAATGAATTCAATCTTTGCCAGATTTCCAGTCGTTGTCTCCATGATGTCGGCAATGACTCGTTTGCTCAGTGTTGTCTTTCCCTGCCCAGCGTTCCCAATTACGATGCAACTTTCCAGAATGTCTTCGTCAACTGTGTCATCACCACCACCAACACCAGCACCACTTTTGCCAGCGCTAGTTACACCTTCATAATAATGGGGATCAGACAAGAGCTGCTTAGCGCTGGACAGAACAAACTGCCTTCCTCCTTCCACTTTGTCACTCTTATCTTGTCTAGCTCCTTGGATAGCAACGCCTGGTGTACGGTCAGATATTGGCTGTCTTCCAGTGACACGGCGAGTTGCAGCTTGTTGCGCACGATACGTCAGCTGCAGAGCATCTTTCTCCGTCAGAGCCTGCATGGGCACGAAGCAATCCTTGACATCGCCGGACAAGCAAGTTAGATCTGAATGATCAGCGGTGGTCTTGCACAGATGTGTATTCACTCTGTGTAGATGTTGTTTAAGACGTTGAATGTGCCCACCATTGTCTGCTCCATCATCATTCACTAACAGTATATTACATGTCACTGTGCCATCGTTAGCTGTGTTGCTGCCTGCACGCATAGTAGCAACATCAACTGTGGTGAAACACAGGACAGGAAAGAGGAAAAAGAACTAATTGTTTGATGGTATATCATTGTACAGATGTACTGTGATGATATGTTGACAAGTATATTCCTAAATGTAGATAGTGTGTGTGTGTGTGTGTGTGTGTGTGTGTGTGTGTGTGTGTGTGTGTGTCTGTGTGTGCGAGTGTGTGTGTGTGTGTGTGTATGTGTGCAACATCACCAGCAGAGGCATTTTCTGACACACTTGAGTCACCGGTTACAAACAATATGTCCTGCGAACGCTGCAGCTTCCATTGCGCCCGCTGCAACCACTGTGTGCTATCGCGCCAAGGCATGAAATGTCACAAGTGCAGCCGTGGCTCGGCCAGAGCAACCAACACAGACCGTAGCTCCTTCTGTATCGTTTGCAATTGCCGTCGGCGTTTCAGTAGACCACAGGACCTATCCCGTCATCGCCCCTACTGTTCCGAACCTGCTCAACCCCCCATGGGGTCCGCATAGCCAGAATATGGCAGCGCGTCCAAGGTCCAAGGTGTATGTGTGTGTGTGTGTGTGTGTGTGTGTGTGTGTGTGTGTGTGTGTGTGCCTCTGTGTGTATGTGTGTGCCTCTGTGTGTGTGTGTGTGTGTGTGTGTGTGTGTGTGTGTCTGTGTGTGTGTCTGTGTGAACCACTGATTGTACTCTTTACATACACACGTACATAAAAACTGAACTGAAAGGCGTCAACAAAAGAAACAAATATGTGAGTAATCTCCATTGACGCTGTGTACAGCTTTGTTGTAAAATAATTTCAAAGTTTGCCAGTATGACTGGTCGATACTCCACAGCTGCATTTCACAATGTCCAACACAATAAACAGGGCAGGGTTTTCTTTAAAAACTGTTTTCCATGTTCTGTGTGGAGCATTGTCGTGCTCGGACATGCACTGCCGAAAATGTAGCAAAGCTGCTAGATTCTGGTTTGGTGGGAGGTGCGAAAATGTATCTAGGATTCTAGTTATAGATCCAGGTTGAAATTTTTTCGTGAGCGTCTTATTAATTTTTGTATTGTGTTTCGGCATGTGGGTCTCTTCAGTTCACATGGGTGGGCGAGCGTCCGATCTTGGTGAACCACGGTCTGCCTGGTGGGCTGGAGGGATCATGCTCTTATTTGAATCGGTTTGCCTTGCGGGTGTTGTGGGTTCTGGTTGTTGCTGGTTGTCACATGTGCGTCACAATAAGTGCCTGACGGTTTTGGTTTTTTGCTTTGCAAGCGGATGTACTAAATGTTTCCCGTGTTATTATGGTGTTATCCCTGTGGTTGTCAGGGTGGATGACTGGGGCTATTCAGGGTAGCGCTGTGGGATTTTTTCTTTAGTATCTTTTATGCGTATTGGTAACCGATTTGTTTGAGTGGTTTCTGGTGTCCTCAATGATTATTTGCTCCTGTTTCAGTCGATGTGTTCTTCCTTGCTGTTCTTCCATTCCTTCGTGTGGTTTTCTTTTCTGATTTTTGGCGATGGTTGAGATGTTCTTGTTAGTCCGTGTTTCTTTCTGTGTGCGTCTTTGTCTCTCTGTGAGTTTTCGTAACCCCATCGCGGAGTCCAGCGTGCGCCTACTAGTCACGTGTCCAACAATTGTGGTCATACATGTTGTGTTTTATTCTCGCATTTTTATGCTCATTCACAATCTCATTTCTTTCATCTTTCTCTCTTCTCCGATCTGTCTTCTTCAATTTTTTGGGCTTAATTTGTTTTGCTTTCATCCTCAGGAGAGCATGTCTTTTTTCGGTGGGGGATAGAGTTGTACATGCTGCTGAATCGTGGTACACGCTGCTGAATCGTGGTCCACGCTGCTGAATCGTGGTACACGCTGCTGAATCGTGGTACACGCTGCTGAATAGTGGTACATGCTGCTGAATCGTGGTACACGCTGCTGCGCTTTTGCAACAGGTGTGTACTCACATGCATAAAGCCTAGTTCACATTCGACGGAACGCTGACGGTACGGGACGTAACTCCTGTCGGGAAGGCTGGGATGAACTGTAAAATCTTGTACGATTCGTACGACACGACATGCTGCAGTCGTTTTGTCGTTCAGCAGCGAATGACGCCAGTCATAAGGCACGGCCCATGACAGGGTGACCTTTGGACCTATTTTCTTATTTTCGGTATTTCTTTTCAATTAATTCTCCTTGAATGAAGCGGAATCAAGTTCACAATACCAGTATTTCATGAACACCAAAAAAGTAGCATCGAAAGGCGTGCCATTCAAATTATAGCTCCAGGGAATGATAAAACAGTTCGTCTGTCATGCTCCTGAACTATCCCAAAATACCATAAGTGACACCAGACCGTATCTTGCAAAAATTCAACTCAAGTCGTGTTAGCCATTCTGCGAGTTATCATGGGAAGCACAGTGTTCGAAATGCTACGCCCGTCTACGGTATGAAAAGTTGGATCGATCCAACTCTTCCCGTTGCTTCCCGATCTGTACGGCAGTACGGCTGCGTTCCCGTTCCTGGTGTTCACATTGGACGCCGTCAGACTGTCCCGTCGCTTCCCGTCGATCCTTACGTCACGTCCCGTCGTGCCCCGTCGAACGTGAACTAGGCTTTATAGTCACCCGCTCTGTACACACTTCTCGCACTGGTCCCCATTGGGACAGCATTGTATCGCTTACCCGTGCACATTTTGTGCTGATAAGCGCACCACTTTTGCCCTGATGAGTGCATCACTTTCCTGGATAATATTCAATTGTCAGTTGTCATACGTCAGTTGCCCAGACGTCTCCTTAGAGAAAGAACAAAGTATTCTCTCCTACTACACAGCTGGCCTTCTGTTGTGTATCGCGGCCGCAAGAGGGGTACAGTTCGCTTTTAGCTACAGTCCATTCAGAAAAAGATGAGCGCTGGCCCCGGAGAGCACTCGTGCTTGGTGATTTCGCCAGTGACGCGAGATTCGAAACTTGAAAAGGGTCCAAAAAAGGTACCTCAACTGGGGTTTGAACCTCAAATGCACTGTTCTGCAAGTGGAGTGCACGGGTTGGATTTTCATGGTTTTTCCCCAATTCAGTGCTTTGGGGGCAAAACCCGGCCGAAATCCTATTCTTGTTATGGCTTGATTTTTGGAGAAATAGACTTCAAAAACACAATTGGAAGAGGATTCCATGGGGGATTGCAAAAAAATTGAGAAAAAACTCAAAATTTGACCCATTTCTGGCCAAAAGCTAGGATATCATCTTTTTCTGAATGTACTGTAGACTATACTTTGGTGTAATGAGTTTAATTCTGCCGGTAAGGTACAAAACTAAAATTTCCCTTGACAGCAGAAGTTTGATTGATGGCAATGTTTAAATTTAAATAGGGGACGTTCAGACTGTAAGTGGTATACCCACACCCCCAAGACCATTCTTGAAACCCTCCCCATTCTGGACATATCAACTACTGCATCACACTGTATGTGGTACATCCACATCCCAAGACCATTCTTGTGACCATCCCCATTCCGGACATATCAATTACCTGTCTCATGAGATGATGTCTTGGCCGTTGGTCGCTGGTCAACGGGCAACAGGAGAAGCATTTCTTGGTACTTTTCATTGTACAGTGGACCCAAGTCATGGATTGCATTGCAGAGCAGTTTATAAGCAAATGTGCCTCCAGGACGAATAAGACTGATGATGTGAGAATTATGCTTTTCCTTTCCTTCGTATTTCTCCAGACGCAGCAATGTCTCAATTTCCGTTATACTTATGAACACGCATTTGCCCTGCACAGCATGTCGAAACCTCGTTGTATCAATGTCACAGATCCAGGGTAAGATATTAGCAATGAACTTGGGATCACCAAATGGTTCATCTAAAGAATACGAAAAGACACAAAACAAATATACAGGAATGTCGAACTAATCGAAACAGTATTGACAGATAATCATTAGTAATTTTGAGACAGTATCCTGGACAACCAATCACCATGACAACTGAGTCATATTTGGACACATCAACATCATGTAGCCTTGTGCACCCCCCCCCCCTTCCTCAGCATAAACAAGCTAAACTGATGTGGGGTGACCTCCCGGTAAAGCTGTGCTTTTAACAGGGAGAGGTGTTTTCTTGCAGGTTTGCAAAGTGAAACATTTGATGGATTTCCTGTATGCAACTCTTCGGGATGGCACCCCACAAGTTAGTCAAATGACAAGTCAAGTTGGCAGGAAAGCACCGGCTCAAGGTTGCAAGAAACACACATTCTATAATTGCTTTGGTTCTCTGTAAGGCCAGATCAAAGTAGAATCGATATTTCCGGGCAGGACCCATGTGAAGTTAGTGTTGGCAGGAAATTTTTCATTATTAATATTTTTACTATGTATGTACTTGAAGTAGATATAGTGAGATGTATGCATTGCATGCTGAATATTTTTTACACCAGTGAATTGTATGCATTGCATGCTGAATATTTTTTACACCAGTGAGATGTATGCATAGCATGCTGAATATTTTTTACACCAGTGAGATGTATGCATTGCATGCTGAATATTTTTTACACCAGTGAGATGTATGCATTGCATGCTGAATATTTTTTACACCAGTGAGATGTATGCATTGCATGCTGAATATTTTTTACACCCGTTTCTGGTAGAGGCGACGGTTTCAAATAGGACATGGGTTGCAAACTGGACCGGACTCAATATTCACTTTCTCTTTTGGTATTTTGATTAGAAAACATATATCACAGTGAGACTACGATGTGTTTTACTCCGAGCCAAAATTGTATGGCTCTGCGATGACCAGAAGCACCATACCAAGCAGGTGAGTTTTTGACATGTTGCTTCGTACTGCGACTTGAGTTTTACGACTTTCGAAAAATCAACTTCTTGTCGCAGGTAAACAGCAGCTCGCCTCAGTCTCGCCAATAAAGCACCGCATACCAATCAAAACTAATGGAAGCACACACAAGCCTTATTGTTACTCTGTACTGGCCATAGTGAAGCGATAGCAATTACCTAATTTCAGAACTCAGAGTGAATTTGACGTGCACTCTAGCCTTTCCGGTTTGGAGCCACCTCTGATTTGAAGCGAAAAATTGGGCAACTTGGAGGCAGTGGGTCAACACAAAGGAGTGGCTCAGTTCGATTGACTCTGGCCTCAGAGCAAACTTCAACATGCCAGTTTCCTTCCACAAACATATTTCGAGTGAACAATCAACGCTGATGATCGGTTTGGGTCTATACAAATTTGGCTGTCAAGCCGTTCCGGTATCGAACCATCGCCTCTACTTTGTACTTAAAGTTATTGTAATTAGAATGGTGTGAGTTGGGAAGTGGGAAGTCAAAATAGCACTAGCTTTCTCAGGGGTGGATCCAGGAGGGGTTCCAGAGGTTCTGGGGAACCCCCTAAAATGTTTAAATCTACTACTGGCAACCATATGCATGCCCATGTATATGTGTCAGCTATTCAGTTTTGACTACACTGGAATTCCCCCCTGTAAAGATCGCTGGATCCACCGCTGTTCCTAACAAACTCCTTCTGTCTACAAAGCTCAAGCTGTAGCTTGGCAATGTAAACAGCCTCTAGCACATCTAGGTGGCAATTGTTGCACGTCCGCAAGTGAATCTTAAAGTGCTCCGGAACATTCTTATGTATGGCATTCAGATACGCAGGGGACATGATAAAATGTGTTGTTATTGCACTATGATTTATCTCAGCTGATGGGTTGTGTGAATCACGCTGGTTGGGATCACACTTACTCGAGATAGTGTTTGTCAGCGCTATCTGATCAGCTGAGCTCCTGGTCGGTGTCCTTGCAACTTGACGCTGTCGTAGTTGCTGAGTACTACGACGAGTGCTTGTTGTTGCCTGCACCTTCTTGGGCGCTATTTTCCTGGAGTTGACACGCTGTACGCTGGTTGAAACGGCGATAGCCGGCTTTGACAGGGCTGTTGCGAGTGCCTTCTGTTGGGGCGGTCTTCCTCTCCTGGGCTTGACGTCGTCGACACCTGGTGAGAATACGAAGAGACACAAACCAAATATACAGGAATGTCTGACTTATCAAAACCCCATTGACAGATAATCATTAGTAATTTTGGGACAGTATCCTGGACAACCAATCACCATGACAACTGGGTCATGTTTGGACATATCAACATCATGTAGCCTCCTGCATCCAAGGTTTGCAAAGTGAACCAATTGATGGATTTCTTGTATACGGGCGGCTCTGCGTGATGGCAGTCACGATCAGTCAAATGACAAGTCAAGTCGGCAGGAAAACAGCGGCTCAAAGGTTGTAAGCAACAAACATTCCATAATGGGTTTGGTTCTCTATAGGGCTGAAACGATTATGCCGATTACTCGGAACTTACTCGTTATCTCTGTGATCGCTACTCGTTATGCTGTTATCCAGTATGCACGACTTGTACATGTGCAGTGTACATGTGCATAGTACTAGCTAAGTCGCACTGTCTGCATAGTCAACTCCAGCACGCGTCATCCAAGGTGACAAAATTCACGCCTTTTTCTAGGCACCTTCGCACTTTTGGGATCCGGTGTGTCATGCACATATTCCCCGGAGACCAGTAAAATATATTTGTCATACAAATTCAGCATACTCGTTTTATGATAACTCGATCGTTAATAATAAACGGTACTCGATAAGAAGAAATGGATGATCGTTTCATCCCTAGTTCTCTACAAGGCATCTACTTTCTATAGCAAGTCTGTTGTCTATAGGAGTTTTGTTTCTTGTTTGCTCTTGTAATCACATGTAACCAAAGGCTTGTTGCTAAGATACTGCACATTCAATTATGGTGGACTGCTGGTCTGACTTACTGTTAGACATTTTGAAGTACTTTCAGGACGATGATAAACTGGTTATTGTAGCACGGTTCATACACTCTTCACTGCAGTCATGGTCTGTGTATTTTACTGCATACACACAGACACAGACACAGACACACATACACACACACACACACACACACACACAGACACACACTATCCTTTAACCTTTGAGCTTTTGACGCCCATCGCAGGAGGCGATGATGGCAGTGCCACAGCAGAAGCCATAGCAACTTGTGCTGGAATTGCACCATTCAACAGCTTGCAAGGCTGAAGAATTGACCGCCACTATTCAGCCTGGTCTACACCACACAGCTATGAAGTGGCTTTTTCTGGCCAGTGACTCCCTACGTTTGGTCTTTTTCATATTTTTCTGCACACACATCACACCACATACTCCGGCATGAACTGGCTGTTGGTAACCACCCAGGAGAATGAAAGACGGGAGGAGTCTGAGAAAGAGAAGAAAGACGTGTGCGACCATAATCGTCCGGAATCGAACCCGCAACCTCTCGATTGGAAATCACACACACACACACACACACACACACACACACACACACACACACACACACACACACACACACACACACACACACACACACACACACACACACACACACACACACACACACACACACACACACACACACACACACACACACACACACACACACACACACACACACACACACACACACACACACACACACACACACACACACACACACACACACACACACACACACACACACACACACACACACACACACACACACACACACACACACACACACACACACACACACACACACACACACACACACACACACACACACACACACACACACACACACACACACACACACACACACACACACACACACACACACACACACACACACACACACACACACACACACACACACACACACACACACACACACACACACACACACACACACACACACACACACACACACACACACACACACACACACACACACACACACACACACACACACACACACACACACACACACACACACACACACACACACACACACACACACACACACACACACACACACACACACACACACACACACACACACACACACACACACACACACACACACACACACACACACACACACACACACACACACACACACACACACACACACACACACACACACACACCTCACCTCAGACATGCCCATCGCGGAAGCGACGATAGCGAACAGCTATGTAACATTGTTGGACATAGCAACTTGTGCTGGGATTACACCATTCAACAGCTTGAAAGACTGATGAAATGACCGCCACTTTAGTGTGTTTCAAAAGTCCAGACCTCTGGTTTCAAAAAACCGTTAGGCCAGCATCAATACCACATAAAATCTGTGATCACTTTGTGCATAAAATTTTCCGAAATTGGGCGTCTGTTATCCAATCGCTTAGAAATTCACATGAGAAAAATTGCGTGAGCTGCCTGAGCAATATTCTGAAGAAATTTCTCAAAAAGCTCAAACCAAATTTGAATTATTCGAAAAAGTCTAGAGGTCTATACTTTTGAAACGCACTATAATTGACCGCCACTAATTTTTAGCCTGGTATCCACCACACAGCTGATTGAAATGTTGGTTAGCGTTGCGCAAACCGTAGTTAACCAGCACGCCACGGGCCGCGCCCCCGCACGGGAATATTCCCGCTAGATGACTTTAGGTGACCTTACACACTCCGCCGTGCCGCCGCAGCCGACTTGCGCAAGCACACACTCTTGCGGAGTTCCGCATTCGAGTCGCACTCGCGTAAGACATCCCGCACGAGCCACCCTTCGTCTGGCGGATGCATCCGTAGACGGCTCTTCTACTGCTGGCTGGTCTAATTTTTGCCAGTTGTCTGTTTTGCTGTGAGAGCTCGCCACGCAATTTTGTTCCCACCCTCCCACACCTAGCGGACGGAGGGGAGACACGGGCTCGGCCGATGGGCACGAAATCCGCATGGTGCACATCCATCGGCTGCCGCAGACAATACATTTTTAAAATCTAGTTGTGGGTACTACCGAGTACTTAGTGGTCATGCAGTTGCCATAGCAATGTACTGGTACACCCAGCCTGTATGATTGTTACATGACCCCATGGGTCATCTTTCAAACGCTCTTTCATAGCCGATCGACGCCGATATTTGTTCCTATCATACTATGTTTCAGATGGGCGGCCTTTGACGACCCAGTACGATCATTTCACCCGAACTATGTTATACGTCATCATGATCACAATAACCATGTCGTGCTCACGTTCAATATAAGCTTGCGGCAGCCCACTGGCTCATCTTTTCTGTGGTGTGAGGGTTAAGTGGCTTTTTTCTGGCCAGCGAATCCCTATTTTTCATTATTATTATTATTTTTTTACACACACACGCCACACCACATACTCCGGCATACACTGGCTGTTGGTAACCACCCAGGAGGATGAAAGAAGAGCTAGGAGAATGAGAAAGAGAAGAAAGACGTGTGCGACCATAATCGTCGGGAATTGAACCGGCAACCTCTCGATTGGAAATCGACTGCACATACCACTGCACCATATGGGGGACACACACACCTCAGACCTGCCCATTGCGGAAGCGATGATAGCGAACAGCTATGTTAGACATAGCAACTTGTGCTGGGATTACACCATTCAACAGCTTGCAAGACTGATGAATTGACCGCCACTATTTTTAGCCTGGTATCCACCACACAGCTGATTGAAGTGACTTTTTCTGGCCAGTGAATCCCTATTTTTCGTTTTCCATTTTTTCTTTTCTTTTTTTCTTGGTTTTTTTCTACACACTCCACACCACATACTCCGGCATACACTGGCTGTTGGTAACCACCCAGGAGAATGAAAGAAAAGTCAGGAAGAGTCCGAGAAAGAGAAGAAAGACGTGTGTGACCATAATCGTCGGGAATTGAACCCGCAACCTCTCGATTGGAAATCGACTGCACATACCACTGCACCATATGGGACACACACACACACACACACACACACTTGTACTTGTTGCTCACTGCCAAAACTGGGTCACGTGGGTCTCCCCGGGAGAGGGGAGAGAGACTCAAAAGGAATCTTGGAAAGATGACTCAATTGGCTATTGAACCGCCCAACGGCCGACGCCCCCTGAAATCCCCAAAACTCTGGGTGGACTTGAAAACGATCCCACTTATGGGCTCACCACACCTCAGTAAGTGGGTGAGGACAAGGTGCAGAAAAAGGATTGACGGCATCAGGGTATCCGTCCCGGGATCCAACTGCAGTTACCCCTGCCCTCAGTGAAGGGAATACTTGCTACTAGTGTGGGTGGCTAAATCAAAGTGGATCTGATACAAGCTTCACTAGCACCATGATTACACAAGAGTATATCTAGCCAGAAGTAGTCCATGGTTAACAGGTATACTTCAAATAGAAGGTGTATGAACCCTGAAACCAACAAAGGTGGTAGGTACAACATTACACCTTCAACAGCCGAGCCCGTTGGCAACAGACCCAACACTATCCGGCACAAGTTCCCAGGAATACAGAAGCTAGCAATGGTAATCATGGCTCTGCAATACAACTCACCGCTATCATCGGGAGATGAAAGCAGCTGCTAGGCGTTGAACGGCTGGATTATGTGATTACCAGAAACTCAGCTTGGCTAGTGATCCAGGTCACTCCAACATACAAGAGTTGACAATGCCTCATTCACTGCAGTGATCAGTTCCTTCCTTGCTACGCTGTCGAAACCTTTACATCTGCCGGTACAGTGTGTAAGGTGCACACGTTTGTTGTGGTGTCTGAAAGAAGGAAAGAGAGAATAGAAGGCAGGTTTTAAAGTACTGATAATATTCAGAAGAGAATGTATCATGAATCATGGATGAGCCTATGCTCATTCTTAGTCCCTTACTACACTGTAATGGCTTTACATGTGTCTTTACTTAACACTCTACTATACTGATACAGGTTATCAACTTACACACAGTGTATAGTAGTAGACAGGGGCGTATGCAGGATCCGCAATGAGGGGACTGCTCCAACCCTTTCCCAAAGAACCCAATAAAGGACCATTCATGTACATGTGATGCATGGATGGTTGATATCTTGATTTTTAGTGCGCTATTTACCATGATGTACCAAGTCGAGGGAAAATGGAGGACCTGTTCTGTAGGATGGAGCAACCATGAGGCTTTGAAGTACCCACTTAGCAACCCCAAACATATCCCTCACTTTGGAGGACAAACTTTACTTCCTCTGCAAGCTAGATCCAAGAGAACATTAATTTTGCTAGATCATATCATGAAAACATTTTCAATTTGACTACTGCTCTTTTAAGTACTACAGGTAGTCTTCCTCTAATTCCAAACTCAAATTCAACGAAATATGGGTGGTCAGGTACAACGAACTAGTTCATTTAATCAAAACACTGGATCGACACAAGGTCATTGCACATTTATCTTCATCTTCTACGAAGCTTTTAGTGAAGAATTTGTCAGTCACTGCAGCTGTGCTGAAACAATTTCAACGGAAAAGAACAGCACTGACTTCTCAGCGTCATGAAAGCCCGTCGGAGAGCAGAACGGCGTCGTTCTGAAGAAGTCTGAACGGAAATGGAGCATATGCAGACAATTATTTTTACGATTTCTAGTTGTTGTTGAGTCCCAAACATCGCTGCGCATGAGCTGGCACGGCACGCCAAGCCACTGAGATTCGCGAAAGGAACCAGACACCTGGAAGAAGTCGTCCTCAATCAAATCTTTGCACTTTGTCTTGCACAGGCTTGAATCAAGTTTCAAGAGAAGGTGGGGTTCTTCAAAGCTGTTGTCCATCCTGGAGCGGACCAGGGATCGATTCTTGAGTCACTCTTGGCTAGAGAAGGAGAAAAAATGAACTTCGAATGACGAGTAGAGCAACTCCATTTCACTTCGAAATAAGCGCTCGAAGGACATAGCCACTGTACTGTGAACAGCTTTTCTGTAAGAAGAGTGAGTTCGAATTATCCAGCGGGCGCACTTTTCGTACTTCGAATTATGCATTCGAACTTGACTCGTGAGTTCCCCGCGTTTCGCGAACTTCGCATAAGTAGAGAAGAGACATGACAGCTCTCTCCACAGCGATGCCCGCAAAGGGCAACCCCGCGACTGGCGTCCCTGACAGCCAGTGTTGCCAGTGCACTGGCAATTCCAAGTGTGGAAAAAACTGCTGTTGCCCAGAAGCTGGCAAGCTATGCGAGGATTGCGGGGCCGGGAACAGGGCAAGATGCCGAAATTCGCAAACCATCGCGGCGAGGGCCAGTCCCGTAGGCTTTCGAACCATACAATACATTCCAGCCGCCGCGTCCCCCCCCCCTAAACACGATACTAGCAGAGGGCTGACACTTTTCTGTTGGCAGAAATCAGAAGCTGTGTCTGAGGTGTTCAATGGCAGGGAGTCGAGGGGGCAGCGACCCTTTTCGAAGCCGTAACATTTTTAGGATTTCAAGTGCCCGAAACAACAAATTAGTACACTTTCGTGAACAATCGTTTCGGTCAGTTTGTCGAAACAACTGATCGGAGTGTTTCCGGAAAATCGGAATAGAACAAGTCGAGGCCCTGACGATATGGATAGCCCTCCGTCCTGGCACATTTAAGTACATGTAACACGGT